GAGGTGAGAGTAGCAGAGGCTTTAGTGCAAATGGTGCCTGTTGTTCTAGCTGTCAGTTTTATTGCCTGAAGAAAAGAACTGTCTTTCTCTCTTGAGCAGTGTATTAGCATTTCCCATCACAGCTTTTGGTTCAAGTCTGGCAGGAAGTCTAAATAAAACAGCACCCTGCTTCAAGAAAGGTGCACAAATACTGGGATTTCTTGAATGAATTTAATGTGCCAGCATCGAATACTTCACTGTATCTCTGTATTGGGCTGAAAATTTTTGGCAGGGAGATTACTGCCTTGTTTCTATGACAACTGAGATCATGTCATGGATACTTGGGCATAAAACCCCATGTGCTCACAGCTTCGGCTGTGAGAAAGCCAGTTAAGCTATAAGCACAGATTTCTTCCTGCATGCTTGCAGGAGTTCAGTTTAAAGCAAGCCAAGACAACTCCTTTCTTTGTGTATCTTTCTTTAGGGTGATAAAATATTTGTTTGCAAATGTTGCTTGGATCTACTGGTTTCACAAATGCAAGCAAGTAGGTATCTGGTTTTTATCCCTGTGTTACTTGATTCTTTAGGTTAGATCTAAGGCAGAAGCTCTTCCCTGTGAGGGTGCTGAGGTGCTGGCACAGGGTGCCCAGAGAAGCTGTGGCTGCCCCATCCCTGGCAGTGTTCAAGGCCAGGCTGGACACAGGGGCTTGGAGCAACCTGCTCCAGTGGAAGGTGTCCCTGCCTGTGGCAGGGGTTGGAACTGGATGATCTTAAGATCCTTTCCAACTCAAAGCATTCTATGATAAGAAGCCTTCAATAATGAGATGATAAATTGAAGAAGGAGCTCTGGGCTTGCCTGCATTGCTGGACAGGCAGATTTGCCCAAGAAAGAGCCCTTCAATTCAATAACTCCGTGTTGGTAACAAAAGCCAGTAAAAGCTACTGCATCTGATTGTGTTTAAATGGGCTTAATGCTTCCCCTGTAAAAGAAATGGAAAAATAAAGCCAGATGCCAAGGTAACCGGAGGGAAAGATTGATTTGCTCTTACTGAGGGGTTTTAATTGTTTCGCAGCTCTGCACACCATGCACACAGATTGCTAACATCCACGTTTGCACTGAATGCTCTGCCCTGCTTCTGCCTGGGAGGAGAGAGGCAGAGGGACTAGCGATGACTGAACTAACAGGAAAAATTGGTGTGGGAGAGGTGTAGTAAGAGAACATGGAATAAACAGAGCTGGAGACAGCTATGTCCCAGTGCGGGAACACCAGTGGGAAGTGGTGGCATTGCTGAAGGATGATGGGGCTCAGTTTTTGTTTGGGCAGCATCTGGCTCAACCTGGTCAAAGAGTGAAGCTTTGAGGAACCAGTGTTGTGTTAGTTGCTACCTCAAAGTCATAGTTGCTTCAGGTGTGATCAGGGGGGTGTGTGAGGATCAGCCAGTGGTTAATAGCTCTGATTTTTAGGAAGAACCTGAACAGCAGCCAGAGAAAAAGGTCCGTGGAAGGGTAAAGGAGAGAGTCTGGTCTAGTGGCTGGGAAAGGAGGCAAGTCATGATGGCTGGGTTAACTTGCTGCAAGTGTGATTCTCTCCAGGCTTTTGTTTCAAGGGGAGAAAACGGCACAGAAGAGGCATCAGAAACCTGGTGTTCCTTAGGGAAGGAGCAGAATTGGTGATAGAACACCATCTCATAGACCTAGCTTCTCTGAAATGCTGCTTGTACTGGCATTGTGGGGCCCTCTGTTTGCAGTCTGTGGCTTAACAGAGCCCAAATCTGCTCTTTGCAGAGCTTAAATACTCACCAGTGATAGCCCTTGGCAAGCATCACTCCCTGTGTGTTTGCTGCTGCAAGCTGCTTTGCACAAAGCATGGCTCTGATGATTATCCTTTGGGATGGGGATCTGCCTGGCTTGGGTGGAGGACTAGTGGGGCAGCAGTGGAAACGTGCAGTGCAGAGGGTGTTACCAAGGCAATGCCACAGCTGGATTATGTAGCTCAGACCAGGGTGCATCACGCTGAGGTTTAAACAAGTTATTTAGCATCCTGCTCAGCTGTTCCAACTGGTGATTTGTAGGCTGCTGGTTGCAAGCTGCATAAAAGGTATAAAAATAGTGTTGATTACTGAGTCCTCTCCATTGCCTATATCTGGCACAATGTCCTATATAAACTTAACACTCCATTTCAGACAGAGAGCTAAGCAGGGGGGAGAGCTGAACCCTGACACAGTTGTTTTCAAAGTGAAGATACTCAAATACACATTAGCCCTCACTTGGGTGATTTCTTCCAGCAGGGAAAATGCTTTCTTCCACCTCCCATCAGGCTTAAATTAAGCAAGAGATGTGGCAGGAATGAGTCCTATGCTCAGTGTTGACCCCTAACAATGTCCCTTTATCTTGACACACCTCTTGGTCATCATCTTTGTACTCTCTGAAATAAGTGGTGATGTTTGTTGGAGCTGTGGGGATTGCAGTGTCTGTTGCACAACAGCACTGAGGATGAAGTGGGATGAGGGGAGCAGTGGGATGCGTGCGCTGTTGGACCCAGCCAGTGAGGCTTTGCTCCTGCTCTTGGACACCAAAACACTTTGGTGTCACACTGAAATCAGTGGATCAGGGAACTGGTGATGTGATTTACAGCTCTTTAACTGCAACATGGGTGTCTTGCAATGAGTGGAAGAAACCATCAGCTGGGCTGTGGCAACTGTTAGATTAGCTCAGTTGCAACATCAAATTCCTCTGCCTCTTGAGCTATGCGGTTGCTTTCATCCCTCGTGTTCTTGGCCAAGAAGGCATCAGTGCTCTTTCCCCTTCTTTTGGCCTCTGAGCACTTTGTGAAACTTCTGATCCTCTGGGCTGCAGGCAAGGAATAATTTGCACTTTGCCTTGCTCTGGGGAATAAAACACAGGGATGCTGCCTTGGATCTGCTTCCTCATCTCAGCGCTTAGTCCTTTTATCCAGATGAGCCTGGGAATTGTGCATGAAATGATGGATACTTGGACCGCATTAGAAACCTGCTTGAGGTTTGGGGTTTTAGCCTATACGGGTGATGATGGCTGCCCTGAGTACCCAGGCACTTCCTTGCCCATTTGATTTGAAGCAGTCACATTAAGTTTGCTTCTTTAGACATCTGCAACAAGAGAAGAAAAAGCCCCATTTCCTAAACATAATCCAGAAGACCAGAGGAGAAACTGAGTTTGGGCACACTGGAGCTGAAGCTTTTGCTGTTATTTGGATTGCCCACGGGGGAATTCTACAGAGAATCTTTTTCTTGGAGAAAGCATTGCAGTGAGAGGCTAAATACAGCGCTCTGATTTCCCCAAACCTGCCCAAGAACAGGGCCCTTGTGCTGTGCTATAGGATGCCAAATTCGTGATCTTCAGGGAGTCCCTGGCACTGTTCAAGGCCAGGTTGGACACAGGGGCTTGGAGCAACCTGCTCTAGTGGAAGGTGTCCGGGCCCGTGGCAGGAGTTGGAACTGGATGAGCTGTAAGGTCCCTTCCAACCCAAACCATCCCATGATTTCCAGTCTTTTTGCTTGCTGCCATCTGCAGCTGCCTGATGGATTTGATCTGTGGTGTGCTCCCAGCTAAACAGCACAAGCAGATTCTCCAGCTCAGTTAAAAACCAGCTAAAGAGAAGCCAAGCTGCATTTCTTTGCCAGCTCTCCAAACCCACACGGGGGCTGGCAGAGCCCTTTAGTTTTGCTTTCTTCTTCCTTCCCAGCGATGGGAATGGAAACAGCAAGTGCAGAGCAAGGCGGGAGGAGGTGGCACAGGATGTGTCTGGTGCAGTGGCCACTGCTTCGCTCATCCCCACAAGTCATTTCTGACATGACCATCATATTTTTAGTTGCCTCCACCTGACTGTGTCTAACTGGTGTGTTTTAAGAACCTGGCCTGCAGCCATTGATGTGTTACAGCTTGGGGAGCAATTATCTCTTCCTACCTTAAATAAGGGAGTTACTCAACTCTTGCAGCTGTAGTGAGCTACAACTTGGTTACACCAAACCAGCCCCAGCAGCTGCTTGTTTTGGTGGGGGTCCCCATTTCCAAGCACGGGGCAGTGCTGCCTGTGAGCCCAGAGGGATGAAGTCTCTTTGCTGAGTGTGTCAGCTTGGCTCCCTCCTTGTTTTTCCTTCAAACATGCTCTCCTTTCCGGGAGTTCTAAAATAGTCCATGGGCTGAGGCCAGCTCCTGGTGCCGAGTGCTCCCCTGGGAGCAGCCTTTTCCTTCCTTGCTGCAAGGGCTGAGGAGCACGATGAAGCTCTGCCACTGAAATGAGGGGGAAATGGGGAAGTTTGGATTAATCCTCTAGTGAGGAGCTGAACTGGAGGGAAAATTGCAACTGGGAAGAGGACGTGGGGCTGCCTGGAGGTCGCTTGTAATCCTTTCTCTACCACTGGCCTTCAGTAACCTCCTGCCTTGCCTGTATTTATTTACCTCTTAACTATAGGCCTGTGCTCTGAGCTCAGTGCTGGAGCAGTACAAGGGGTGGGGAAGGCACGTGTGTTTCTTTCCAATACATCAGGCCTCCTCTGTGGCCAGAGAGGATGGTTGGGTGAGGGTGATAAGCCATGCTCTTCCTCTTCAGCTATTTGAGGATGGGCTTGGTGTTATTTTTAGTGTCTGCGTGTGAAGTCAGCCTTGAGCCTGTCTGCTTGGAGGCCTTTCTTTCTAATTTGGGCAGGGTTGCATACTTGGAGATCTGCCTGGGGATGGGAGACCTTGTAAGAATTCCTGCTAACAAGCCCGTGTCCCTTAAACACTTGGAGATGCTTATTTATCAGCTGTGAGGCATCTTTACCTGTTCTTAGAGAACAGATCCTTTTCTCTGGTTGCTCCTGAGACTGATGGAGAGTAAAACCCCATTGTGTATGTCACCTAAACCAAATAATGTTGTTTCTCATGGGTATAACCCCGTGTAATACCTGGAATACTTGCTTTTCCTCTCCCATGCAGAAGCAGAGTGGTGGTGTTACATCCAGTGGGCTGGTCTGAGTTTCTTCAGAGTGTGCCTACTAAAGCTCTTTGTCTCTCTTTAACTTGCAGGAGTCTGAGTCTGAGAACAAGCTGGATGGAGAGACAGCATCAGACAGTGAAAGCAAATCTGAGTTTGGAGGATCCCCCCCGGTGCCAACATCAGATGACACTCCAGAGGTCCTCAACAGAGCCCTCTCCAACCTGTCCTCAAGGTACCACTCACTGAGCATCATCCCCCTCTGCTGCCAGGGTCCCTGCATGGTCACTGGAGCAGTGCTGGCCACAGCAGCATGGTGGTGGCTGCTGCAAGCTGAAGGAGCTGCTCTCAAGCACTGTGCTTTCCCTCCCTGGCATGCAGGAAGGTGCCCTCAAGCCACAGGAAACAAGATGACAGTGACACTGCCTGGGAGAGCAGAGCTCTCGAGGGTGCTGTGGTGGGAGAGGTCCCAAGAAGAAACTGGGAATGTTCTTTGCAGGCTGCTTTTTGAGGGAAAACATTTATATCGTGGGAGAAAGTGTCTCTCCTGGGTGTGCTGTGAGGAGAGGCTTGAAGCAGGGTGCTGAGGTGCTGGCACAGGGTGCCCAGAGGAGCTGTGGCTGCCCCATCCCTGGCAGTGTTCAAGGCCAGGCTGGACACAGGGGCTTGGAGCAACCTGCTCTAGTGGAAGGTGTCCCTGCCCATGGCAGGGGCTGGAGCTGGAGGAGCTTTAAAGTCTCTTTCAACCCAGACCGTTCTGTGATTTCATGATCTCCTGGAGAGCAGGGAGGGTACAACACACCAGGGCACGTGTCTGCTCTTGAAGAGGAGTGCAGGGATGGGTAATAGTCCCTATTTTATTAGAACTTACCATGCAGCTTGTCTGAGGTGTGTGAAGCCTTTGTCAGAGTGGGAACAGATGCTCTCCTGTCCCATTTCAGTGCCCTGGGAGACGCTCTGCACCTTGCTGATGCTTTCTGCATGGAGTGAGGGGAAGACTGAGCTGAACTGTAGCCTTGCAGCTGCTGCAAGCAGTGGATCAAGGTCTCTGCAGCACTGAAAGGAAGCTTGAGGTTTCTAGGGCTCAGCTTCCTTCCTGTGATATGCAGAGAACAGAAGTGCCATCTTGCTTCTTTGCTTTGTTTTGGCTTTCTCTAACATCTTTCCTTCTCTGTGGCTTAGATGGAAGAATTGGTGGGTGAGAGGCATCCTCACGCTGGCAATGATTACCTTCTTCTTCATCATCATCTACTTGGGACCCATGGTCTTAATGACAATAGTAAGTGCTTCAGAGAGATCCTGACATTCATGATGGTCAGGGGGAAGGTTGCTGGGACCAGTGGTGGGGTGGGCAGCTCAGAGCTGCATGTTGTAGAGATCCTTACTCCACTTGCTGGGTTTCTCCTTCCCTGGAGGAAACCTGGAAGAAACCTGTGGCTGCCTCCCCTGCTGGTCAGCGTTTGGTTGCAACTGAGACTAATACAAGGAGTTGTTAGAAACTTCCTGAAGAAGAAACAGGAGGGAAAAGCAACATGGGAAGCTTCCCATGTTAGATTAGGGGACTCTGCCAGACTAGTAGCAACTGTTAAAGTATCTTTTGCTTTACACATACATGGTTTTTATCTCTCTGGAGAAAGGGATGTTTAACCAACACTTATTAGAGCTTCTGCATGTCTTTTTGTGCAGGTGATGTGTGTCCAGATCAAATGTTTCCATGAGATTATCACTATTGGCTATAACGTGTACCACTCATATGACCTGCCCTGGTTCAGGACACTCAGCTGGTGAGTAAGGGGGCTGCTCCCCCCCTCCAGGATGCCTCCTCTCCTCACAGATCTTCTGGCTGCCACCACACCAGAGACCCTGGGATTGCTCTGTGTTGACCAGGGTCATGTGGAAGCAGGTCTTGTCAAAGAAAAGCCCCCACAGATCTTGAGAGATCAGTATCTTGAAAGAGCCTGTCTTGATAAAGGTTGTCCAGAGCTTTGAATCCCATGATCTGTGCAAGGGCCAGCATTGACAGGCATCACCTCTTGGAGATGGACATGGTTGCTTGAGCGGAATGGGAGTTTTTAGGTGAACACTTGGACATAAGGGCTGGGCAGAGGGCAGGACCAGTGCTTTGGGGCTGCTCAAGCTGCGGAGGCCTGTTGAGGAGTGCCACCTAAAGGCAGAAAGCCTTTGTGCAGCAGGAGGCCAATTCCAAATCCCATCCATGTGGGATCCATAGCAAAGCTATGCAGCAACTAGTTCAAATGCAGGTGACATTTCTGAACTGAAGGAAACCAAGTTCTGCTGTCACTTGAAGCAAGCCTGTTTGCAGTGGGCCAGAGCGATGGAAAGACCTCAGGGATTAGTGACTTTCTGTGTCTCTCCAGAAGCCTTTTGGGGTCCTGCTAACGTGGGTCTACATCCTTCCCAGGTACTTCCTGCTCTGTGTAAACTACTTCTTCTATGGTGAGACTGTGACAGATTACTTCTTCACCCTGGTTCAGAGGGAGGAGCCCCTGCGGATCCTCAGCAAATACCACCGCTTCATTTCTTTCACCCTCTACTTAACAGGTAGAGACCACGTTTTCTGTTGGTTCATCTTGGCTGGGCTGGAGGGGAGAAATGTCCTTGAGCTACTTTTGTCCAGAGCATTGTGTGCAGTACAGTATCCATAGCAAATGATCTCTGCTCTTCAAGTGATGCTGTAACTTGGGTGCATCGTTAGAGTATCTCTTACATGAGACTCTGTAGAAGAAGACTCCTTACTCGGTATGGGTCAGCCAGGCTTGATTGCTCCTTGTCCAAGTGTTACTTGTAGGCAATGGTATTTTGTGACTTCTGAAGTAGTGCATCTTCCCACTCCCCGTTGCTGCTCCCTAAGGAGCTGTGCAGTGTCATAGTAAAATAGCATTGCTTGCTGCTGGAGGTACATTCCCACCACTTACTGTCCTTCTGTCCCTCACCAGGTTTCTGCATGTTTGTCTTGAGTCTGGTGAAGAAACATTATCGCCTCCAATTCTACATGGTAAGGTTAAATGCAGGGCCTGGCTGCCCCCACTTGGAGGCAGAAGAAGTAATTAGGCTGCTTGAAAATGCTCTGTAGAGGACTAGGTGTCAGTAGCTGCTTCTGTGCTGGTTGTGCATTGTAATGCTGCCTGGAAGAGCAGAGGGTAGTTTTAGGAAGCTGGTTCTGACTGAATTTCCTCTGCTTTTGGGGATGCTATTAAGAAACTTCCTGCAAACTGAGCAGCCTGCACAAGGCTACTTGAGTCTTGCACCGAGGGTCGGTGGCCACCAGGGTTCATTTGTCCTCCTTTTCCCAAACATCAGGCAGGCATTGCTAGTGTTTGACAGTTGGAGCTAGTTTTGCTTTCCAGTTTATTCAGCACACGGGGATATGGCTTGGATATCTATCAGTCTCTTCTTATATAGTCAGAAAGCTGAGATGTGTGGGATGGCAGTGGGCTAAAGAGCATTTAGTCCAGCAGAAGTCTTCCCGATGAAGGTCATCTCTGGGATTGAGCTAAAGAACATGCCCATAAGTGACTGCTGGTGTTTGTCATGGTGAAGGTGCATGCTACAGCTGCACATCTCTGAGGTGTAGCTGCCAGCATCTGCTTGCTACAGCATCGCTGCCAGTGATGAGTATGGCAGTGTCTAGGCTGGCTGGACTGCTTGGTGTCTTCTCTTCCAGTTTGGATGGACCCATGTGACGTTGCTGATCGTTGTTACCCAGTCACACCTCATCATCCACAACCTCTTTGAAGGGATGATCTGGTGAGTTGCTGTGTGTTCCGAGTTGCTTTGATTTCTGCAAACTACTGACCATGTTTTGAGTTCAAACTGTTCTTCTACAAAAACAAATGGCCAAGGAGAAGGTGCTTCATGTGAGGGACTGACCTGTTCAGAATAGAAAAGATTGGTATCTCAGCAGTGTTGGACTTGGTTTGTGCTACTTGAGCAGCTCAGAGAGTTGTTGTAAAGAAGCATCTGGACATTGCTGTGGGGTGCAGGGACATTCCAGGCAGTGTCAGGCCTGCACAGATGCTTCCTCTTGATACCCACATCTAGCACATGATGGGCAAATGCTGCTCAGCACTTGATTTGGGGCAGTACCGTGGTAAAGCAGCACTGTGAAAGGAAGGAGACTGCAAACCTGTCACCTTACTCCAGCTGCTGTGGAGAGGGGAAACCCCTTTGGTGGGCTTGGCAAACTCAGCAGGGCCAGAAACTGATTTTGGCCACTTTAAGACTGCACATTCCTCTGTGTCACAACCAGGCCAGGGGACTTTGGGAGCTGCCTGCTTACAGCTAAAATGCACCCTCCCAGGGGTAGGGGAGTCTAACAAGGTGAGTGTCTAACAGCATGTCATATGTGGGAAAGAAAATGAGCTTAAATCAGGCCGTTCTGGGTACTCAACCTGCTTTTTAGTCCAGAGCACTAGAGTAACACCCCAGATTCCCTAGGAGCTTTATGGGGCTGCTCCTTACATTGCATTGGAGCAGGAGATGTTGGTGCACTGCAAAGCATCTTATGAAGCAACTACTCATTTGAGTCTTGGAGCTTTCTGATCTTGGCACTTCCCAATAGTTTGATTCTTCTCCCATCCAGGTTCATTGTCCCAATTTCCTGTGTGATCTGCAATGACATCATGGCGTACATGTTCGGGTTCTTCTTTGGCCGCACACCACTCATCAAGGTTTGGAACACTCTGGGGGACAAAACACCCATTTTGGCTTGTTTGGGTCTTCATCCTGTGTTTCCTCATCTCCAGTTTTGTGGCTGCTTGTGGGTCTGAAGCAAACCTCTAAGGTCTTTGAGGCTGTAAAGTTAAATCACAGAATCATTGAGGTGGGAAAAGACCTTTAGGGCATTAAGTCCAACCGGGAATGGATGAACCATGTCAGACTGAGATGTTAGTGTCTGCTTCTGACCAAACTCTGATTTGTTGGTTGTTGGCACTGATTTGTGTTGCCTCAGCAATTCCCAGGTGAGGAGGGGCTCCAGAGGTGTGTGGAGATCTATGGTTTGTAATTCCCCCTTTCCCTCTCTCTTCAGCTTTCCCCAAAGAAGACCTGGGAGGGGTTTATTGGAGGTTTTTTTGCCACCGTCTTGTTTGGATTGCTGGTAAGTAGCAACCATGGAGCTTCTGTCATTGTTCTCTTCCCTTCATAGGTGTTCTGTCTAGAAAATGCAGCCCAGCTTTAAGCACTCCAAGCTCTTGCCACAAGAGTCATGTTTCCCTGACTGACCAGGATTTGAACTGCCCATGGCTGTGTGCTGTGCTGCATGTGGATACTGCAGATGGAACAGCACTGCAGGAGGTTTTTAGCCTGTCTTAGACCCTGTGACACGTTCATTACAATAATTATCTGTGACATTTTCTCTCTGCTGCTGTCGGATGGATGCTGTGCATGATTTCCAGGCCTGCGTGGGGAATTCAGCACTCACGGAACATTCTTATCTGGGTTTATGATGATCTCTGTGTCTGCTTGGTTCTGTCCTCTCAGCCAAAGGTTTCCTGTCTCAGCCTGTCCATATGAGGCTCTGAGCACTGCTGGCTGAGCAGATGCACTTACTAAATGAAAATGCTCCCTCTGCCTTTAGCCAATTAGTGCTTCTCAGGAGAGTAATCTCCTTACTGAAGCTGGGAGTGTGGCTTGTCCCCTTGAGTGGCCTTTTCTCTTGAGATCAGCTCTGCCACATTGCTCAGGGAAATACTAATCCTGTTTTCTTTTGCTGTGTCCCTTTTCCCGTCTCCTGGAAGCTGTCCTACGTGATGTCTGGGTACCGGTGCTTCACCTGCCCTGTGGAGTTCAACAATGACACCAACAGCTTCACAGTGGACTGTGAGCCATCCGAGCTGTTCCAGCTACAGGAGTACAACATCCCTGTGGTGCTGCAGTCCGTGGTGGGCTGGGTAGGACTCTCTCTGCTTCTTGGATCTTATTTATTGGGATAGGAATACTAAGAAAAGAGATCAGGGCTTTATTTTGATGGTCTTCAAAGGGACATGACAAGGGATGATGGTACAAAAGGGGGAATTTAGTGGTGCTCTGTGTTGGCCGATGGCCCAAAGAAATGATCTAAAGTCTGGTGGGACATTAACCTACATGAAAACCAACTGACCTAAAGCCTGGAGAGCAGAGAAAGAGGGGCAAGTTCTGTTCTGATTGAAAAGCCTTCTCTGACATGATGTTCTTTCTGCAGAAGACAGTCCGGATGTACCCCTTCCAAATCCACAGCATCGCACTGTCTACTTTTGCCTCCCTCATTGGGCCATTTGGAGGCTTCTTTGCAAGTGGATTTAAGAGGGCCTTCAAAATCAAGGTGAGGATGGTGAAGGTCCTTTCCATTCTAGAAAGCAAAGACTAAATGGTTGCTACCACTCTAAATAGTCCCCGTGCTCCAAGAAGTGGCAGGCTGGGCACTTTGGGAAGGGATGGGTGCTTTGTTGGGTCACAGATGAAATGCCGGAGCAGGATCTAGGGTTTTTAACTGAATGGGGAGAGACTGTAACATTTCAAGTGGTATTTTAAATGCTGCTTTGGTGCAGATCTTGAGCTAGAGGAAGAAAGACCCAGTCAGGAAATTTTGCAATCTGAGGCTTCCCTTGATGTCTTGCACCCTGGTCTTATGTCTAAACAGTCTGTGTTCCGTTAAGATGCCTTGAAAGGCAAGATGGGCTTGCAAGAGATAAACATTGGCCTTCCTTGACCTTTGAGTTGATCTGAGTTAAGCCGTGATGTCCCTCAGGCACTGGTGGTCTTCCTAAAGGAGCAACTTCTAAAACCAGGGAGAGATTAAACAAAATATCTTCTTAATCTGACTTTTGCCTTCTGGAAAGAACTACTGCAAGGGTGTGAGTCTTGCACAGAGGTAGTAACTCAAGTACAGGGCATCTGAAACTGCTGAGTGCAATCCCTTCTGCTTTGCACAGGACTTTGCCAACACAATCCCAGGGCATGGAGGTATCATGGACCGCTTTGACTGTCAGTACCTGATGGCAACCTTTGTCAACGTGTACATCGCAAGCTTCATCAGGTATTTACTGCTTTGTGGGGAAGTCTGGGGGCTCTCTCTAACTCAGGTGATGTGCAGGCTTGTAATTGGAATCACAGGATCATAAAATAGCTTGGGTTGGAAGGGACCCTCAAAGCTCATGTAGTCAACCCCCCTGCAATGAGCAGGGACATCTTCAACTAGACCAGGTTACTCAGAGCCACATCCAGCCTGGCCTGGAATGTCTCCAAGGGATGGGGCATCCACCACCTCTCTGGGCAACCTGTGCCAGTGTTTTACCACCCTCATTGTAAGGAATTTCTTCCTTACATCCAGCCTGAATCTCCCTCTTTTAGTTTAAAACCATCACTCCTTGTCCTGTTGCACCAGGCTCTGCTAAAAGTCTCTCCCCATCTTTCTTACAGGCCCCTTTTAAGTACTGAAAGGCCACAACAAGGTCTCCTTGGTTCTCCAGGCTGAACAACCCCAACTCTCTCAGCCTTTCCTCATAGGAGAAATTGGAGACAGTTATTATCCCTGTTAGATCAATGTCTAAAAATACAAGACAAAGAGAGCAAATGGGGGCTTGAACAAGAGAAGCATGTTTTAGCAGGGTCATGCAAGCTGAAAGCACAATCCTCAATTCCCAAGGTCTGTTATTCCAGCCCCTCTGAAGCCCCTTTGGCATCCCTGTGGATCTTGAGAAGGGTTTCCAGAGTGGAATGAGCATAAAAATCTAGTTTTGTAGCATTTACAAGTATTCTGTGACCAAGCATAGAAGAGGACTTGTAGGTGCATAACAGATGTACTGAAAGAGGTGTGAGGAACTGTCTTTCTATGGCTGCCTTGAGTTTTGAGGGGGAGCATCTGCTGGAAAGGGAAGGTGCTCAGTGCTCTTGGAACAGATTGGGTTTGGGATTGAGTTTTTTTGTTTATTACAGTTCATCCTGAAGCCATCTCAACATCTGGAATAGTTAAGTTCCTTGGGTAGACATGTAGAAGGAATAGGCAACATGACTATTGCCTTTAACCTTTTATTTTGATTAAGCTGCATTTGGGATCCCAGATCATGGAGATTTAGCACTGTGACTCACTGCTAATGATGCTTTTATGTTTCAGAGGTCCCAACCCAAGCAAACTCATCCAGCAGTTCTTAACCTTGCGGCCAGACCAGCAGCTCCACATCTTCAACACACTAAAAGCACACCTTGTTGACAAAGGGATATTGGGTAGCTTGGAGGATGCATAGACAGTGGTGATTGGAACAGGACTGAAAACAAACCCACCTCCTCGAGGAAATTCCTGGCTCGCCTGATTTAAGACAATAACAAGGCCTCATTTCACTGTAACTTTTCTTCCTTTCTTGTTAAATGTTTGCATTTGTGGGGGTTTTTTAATAATAAATTTCTATAGCTTTGGTTCAAATGAGCAAATCTTGGGTTTGTAGCTAAAAGGAGCTCGGAAGGACTGTTGGGTGAAGTAGGAGGGTGTAACTGTCCTCGTGGGCTGTGCTTAACCTCGCTGCATGTGGGCAGAGCTGAACTTCTCCTGTGAGTGTGTTTCTGCAGGGAATGCACCAGCGTTGGCTGTTCCTGTGGGAGCCAGCAGGAAGGTGAAGCCGTGCAGCTCCTGCCACGCCAGGCTGTGGTCACGATGGCAACTCTGGGACCATCGTTGCTCCAGTGAGAACTGTGAGTGCAGTGTTTGTATTCCCAGCCAGCCACGTTCCTGCCTGTGTGCAGGCTCCTGCAGCCTGCACGGTGAGCACAAGGCTCCCTTCATTGGAAGAGGATCTTGCTCTAATCCAGCTCTTATTTCCTCTGCCCAGCCAGGCACTTGCATCTGTTTCACTTGCTGCTTCTTGCAGTGCCTCTCACATTTCCCACCCCTTATGGCTGATAGTTTGGCAAATAAGAGTTTTATAACTAATTAAACCAGAAAGAGAGTGAGGAAAAGGAGTGGAGAACCTGGTAGTTGCTTGTGGGAATGTGGGAGGTTCCAATTGCTTCAAAACTGAATGGAGTAAATAGGGTTTGAAAGAACATTGAAATCCTATTGAGTAATTCCTGCCAAGTAAGAACAACCCTTTAAATAACTTGGTTCATTTTCCCCCCATCAAATAACCTTTAAGCAACACTGAACCACGCTTTGATGGTTGGAAACCCCACACTGGGAGATTGTAACTAATCTGCGGAGCAGTTTCCAACTGTTCTTTCTCCTGCAGTTGCTGGTTGGGGCTCCAGCACCCCCTGGAGTTCTCAGTTGGGTATTTGGTTTTCCTTTCAGGGATCATGTCTATCACTTGTTTGTTACTTGAGTTCTAGATGTCATGCTGCTGAGTTGGTCACGGTCTATGTTGCATTTCAGTCTGGGTTCATTTACCTGCAGGCTTTTGTCCTGCTTCAGTTACTAAACCTTGTCATAAGTAGCTTGTACTTAATAGGTGTAAGTTTTATCTAAGTACTTTCCTTTATTTTGTCATACTTTTATATTATTTAAAAATGAGAGCCCTAAAGATTGTAAAGCTTTCCTCTTTTTTTGTGATTAGATAATGAAAATATCCCCCTTTTACACCTTTTGCAATGATCCCAAACACAAGGTGACTCTGATTTTACTTCTTTCCATAGTTTGTGCATGGGAGAGAGAAACTTGATCATATTTTAACCTGGGGAACGAGTGACAGGGAAAGATAATACAGAAGTACATTGCTGTTTTCAAACCTCCACCTTCCATACAGCACCCCCCCATATAGACACATGTACATGCTGCACGCTAGCTAAGCACTGACAGAAAAGAATTCACCTGAACATACTTTGTAGCTTATACTCCATGTTCTGATCCTGCCATTGCTTTCCTTTACCCTGAGTGAGCCAGTGAGCACACGTGTGTAAATACATGACCAGATACCAATGTCTCTCTTACATTCCTCCTTCCTGCGTGCTCAGCTCTGCTTCATCTCGCTCAACAGGAACCACAGGGCAGAAGTTTGTGCTCCTTGTGCTGCAGATACAGGTATTTGGGTGAAGGCAGATTGCAGGGAAGAAGGGTCTGTTTCCACAAAGTATCCTCAGCCAGTGCTGGCAAAGATGCTGGTTTCTGCCAGGAGACAGGGTTGCTACAGGGGAGCCAGTTCAGGACTGCATTTGATGCTGGTGGTGTATGTAGAGGCTTTCCTGGGCTGGTTGTGGAGACTGTTCCTTTCCAGCCTGAGTTAGGCAGGGATCTGTTGTCTGTTGATTTAGAGGTCTAATCCCCTGATTCGAAAATTGAAGGGGAAAATTAAGGTGCTTCCAACTTGCTTTGTCCAGGGAGAATGTTTGGTCTTTATTTCACAGAACCATTTGGGTTGGAAGGGACCTCTGGAGATCATCCGGTCCAACCCCATGGCCACTTAGAGCAGGTTACACAGGAACACACCCAGGTGGGTTCAGACCATCCCTGAAAAGCAGTTTTCCCTGTGGGGTCAGACAAGCTGATGCTTTTCTGGCTTCCCCAACATCTGCCAAAACCCCTTGTAGTGCCCTCTTGGGTCCCGAGTCAGTCATCAGAAGCTATAGTGTTGAGACGTATTACAAAAGATGCTCTTTATGTTAGGAAATCTTTCCATATGGCTCTTCAGTCCCCTGCTCATGTTGCTTTCAGCCTTTGGTACCTCTTTAGGTGTTATTAGTGGGGCAAAAATCTAACACAAAGCTTTCCTGCATGCTTTTGAGTGAAGCAGCATTGGGGCCTTTTGAAGGGTGCGGTGCTGGCTGTGGACACTGGAGGGCAAAGCAGTTGCATTTAGCAGCTTCCAGGGCTAGAGAGGAGCTGCAGCAGTGTTGCATGTAGCAGCTTTAGTCTTGCTTCCTTCCCAGCAATGCAGTGAAAGGGGGGGACTTCCAAACCTGGTTTGATCCTGAAGGGTACATAGAAAGGGTTTAGCATCCTGCTCTGCATTTGTAGCTGAGTGGGACCAGTGCATCCATCTGAGAAGTGGAGGATGAAGGGAGGGAGAGGGAAGGTGTGAGCTCTGTTTGCAAGCTCTACAGCTCAATGTGCTGAGAAAGAGTGGTGAGCTCTCTGTAGTGTGTCCTGTGTCGGAGTGAGAGCTGTGGCTGTCAAACCCACTTCTATACCACTGGAGTGAGTGTATGTGAGAGTACTCAGCTCTTAGCGAGAGCGCTGCCTAGGGCAGTGTTTGGTGGGTTCTCCCCATCAGCCCAGCCTGTGAGTGCTTTTTGTTTGCTTGTAGATACTTCAAGTTAGACTTAGAAAGTCTAGAAGAGATGTAAAGTTGATGTTACTGGCTTTGGCTGCCCCTAAAGGAGTTAACTGTGATGCCAAGGGACATGTAGCAAGACACATTGAGCCTTTCAGGACCTTGGTTGTGCTGCAGCTCTCACAAGCGTTAGGTTTGGAGGGAGAGCCTGTGCTGACCACCAGGGATGTCCAGGTGAGGTGATGCAGGGATGCTCCCATGATGTTTCTCCAGCTGCAGGACTCCAGTTCAGCACTGCACACTGGTTTTTGTTCATAGTGGGCTCCACCACCAGAGAAGTTCCTCCAGCTTATGCCCAGCAGGAAGGGAATAACAGAGCAGACCAGTACAGGGGGAGGTACTGTGCCAGCCAGCGTGTGTGCTTGGGTCAGAAGGAAGAGAAAAGCAGGATTTGGCCAATGTGAAGCCCATGAGGGTCTGACTGCTGCTTGTGGTGTGGAGACCACCTCTACACCAGCAGTTGTAGCAGACAGAGGAGGATGTGAGTGTATTTGATGATCAATGGGATGGCATGTGGCTGGAAAGCTGCTTTTGCTGGTGGGAGAAGCTGCTGTCCTGGTGAGGGGATTAACATGATGTGGGTTTGCTGGTGGGTGATGTAGTACAGGTCAGACCAGGTTTGATCCCAGTGTGAAGATGAGCCCTTGGCATGGTCTGATGGGAATTTGCTTCTCCAAGTCTGATGAGTTTGCAGATGGGATGTATGGCCAGAGCATGGCCTGCAGGGCTCAGTGGAACATCTGCACTTGGTTTCTGCATTTGGGGTCAGGTCCACCACTGATCAGTGTGTGTGAGTTAGAGATTCCTCAGGGTGATGGGCTCAGAAGTCTGCTGACACTGATCCCAAGCTGCTGCACTGGATTCCTGATATCCTGTGCAGCTCATGAAGCTGGAAATCCCACAGCATCAGCTACTGCTTGGCAGGAGGTTGTGAAATGCCAGTTTCTTATGTTCCAAGGGCTGTGTCCTGTTTCTGATGTGTGCAGCAAGTTCTCTTGAGCATGGTTGTGGTGGGATCTTGGCATCTCTTCCTTCCCCTCCCTCCTCTAACTGGCTCTGTATGATAGGAGGAGGGCAAAGCTGTGTGGGAAGCATCCGTACGGCCCATCCAGACCCTCCTGGGGACTGGAGAGCATCGTGTCACAAAGAGCATGATGTGAAAGCTCCTGTGGTTCCTGCCCTCTGTAACCAGAGTTGCATTTTGTACTGCTGTAATCTTGGTGTGCTCCTGTTCTCCAGACCTGATGTGTTTCTACATCTGCTTCTTTCTCTGTGCACTGTTCTTTTGATTCATGTTTTAGCTACACCTGTAGAGTTGCCTTTCTTTGACCGAATGTCCAAATGTGATATATTGTATATTTTAAAGTATTTACCCTATTTATATACTATGTGTTACTGTTAAATAAATATAAGTTCCATTATCTGTAGTGTTTTATTCAGTGCTGGGTGGGAGATGCTGAAAGCCTCCTGTCCATGCTCTGCGACTCAGATGGGTCTGTTTGAAACTCAGGTTCTGCCATTCCTTGCCAGGTAGCTCTTGTTCCTCAGGGATCTTGCTAAGAGCAGACCTGGTTGTAGCAAAGACACATGTGAAGGCTGCAGATGGGCTGAGCACACAGGCAGGGTTGGACCATCCATGTCCTGCAAAGGGACACAACCGTGTTGAGGGTGCTTTGAGGTGGAAGCTGTGATCAGGAAGGTCTTCATTGGGGGCTGGAGCAATAGGACGAGGGGTGATGGGTTTAAACTGAAACAGGGGAAGTTCAGGTTGGAGATAGGGAAGAAGTTCCTTACTGTGAGGGTGCTGAGGTGCTGGCACAGGGTGCCCAGAGCACGGGTGAATGCTCCATCCCTGGCAGTGTTCAAGGCCAGGTTGGACAGAGCCTTGGGTGACATGGTCTAGTGTGAGGAGTCCCTGCCCATGGCAGGGGGTTGGAGCTGGTTGGTCTTAAGCTCCTTTCCATCCCTTCATGCTATGATTCTATGTCAGATCATTCAGGCCCATCTGATCAAAGATGAGGGATGTGTTGGCACTGCTGCCCCCTGTAAAAGAGCCTGTTTTACCCTAAAGATTTCATTGGGAAAGTGAAAAGCTGCTAGAGTTCCACTCAGCATCGATTAAGGCTTCATTTCAGCTGTTTCTCTTGATGAGTGGGGTTAAA